ATACGTGGTCTTCTGTATAACGTAACCCCTGAGCAAATGAAAAATAAGATTATTTCTGTCAGAAGATGTTAACTGCCAACCTAAGTAATGAGTTGGCTTTCATTTATTAAAGTCATTTTATCACTCAGTTTATTGTAATCATGAAGAAATTTAAAAGTGAGATTGTCTAATTTATGCTAATTTGGACAGTCCTAATGAACAAAATAGTCATACATTGTATAACATTGCAGTCCATGACAAACTGCATCTACAACAGAGTCCCATAAGATGATGGTAGACTACGTCATCGAGCAGGTGTGTAGTAAGCTACACCATGCAGATTTATGCAAGTCTATCCTTTGCTATTTCACTCAATTACAAGATCACCTAACCACGTGTTTTTTGGGACGTATTCTAGTTGTTAAGCAACACATGACAGCATTTCAGTGTGGTGAAATTTAATGTGTTGAGTTCTTCAAAATTTATTCTGGAAAGACAAATATATAATCCACATTATACTGATATAAATTACATTAACGAGTTAACACCATGACAATGTATTTTTCAATGGCCTAAAAAATTACTGTAGTTAGTATCTATCAAAGCAACAAAATCCTTTAACACATTTTCATCCTGCTGGGGGTTCAGTAGCACCAGCAGCAGCTCTGGACTCTCTCCAGAGCTTCAGGGTTCAATATTGTACTTCTCCAACTGCCAGGATAATCTTAGATCTTACATATAAGCCCAGAACTATTGTAGCCACACTGCTCTTCCCAAAAGATAATCATGAAGTGTTCTGTATTGCATCAGAAGAGAGAGGTTGAGCTTCAGATGTGCTTATACTCAAGGCAGAGCAATAAATCCAGGTCAAGGGAAGGGATTGCAGGAAGGAGTGCCCTCATTGTCGCAGGGTATGGTCTCGTGGGTGGGAGACAGACTTGGGCCATCAAGGGTCACGTGGGCTCTTCCAAGAGTAGCCCTGGAAGCTGGAAAGAGCCTTTCTTTGACTGAATGTTCCTTTAATTTACCCCACAAACTTGAATTTGATTAAGATACTTAACTTCTTTTGGCACAACTAAAATGAGACAGTTGAATTTATAAACTTGAAGGCCACGTTAAATCCATGTGAAGATTTTATAAAAATCTTATGCTGTGTTTCTGCTTTGCTCATCAATGTAGACTTGTAAGTCCTACTTGTCATTGTTAATTTTTTTCAAGTAATCTTATTTATTTATTTATTTATTTATTTATTTTACTTGCTTACACTTAATCACTGTACATCTTTTTTTTTATATATATATACACCACAGATTAGTTTATTTTTAACACCCATCATGCCATGAATTCATAGAGAATAGGTTCCAGTAGCTCAGGTTCCTTTCCATTGGTTCTCACAAAGTGTGCTTCTCTGGGGGGAGCAGGCTGGCATTTTAGTTGATCTCAGGTACCTTTTTCTTTGGCTTCTTTATCTGGTCATTTTCCTTCACACATTTTAGGAAGTGATCTCTACTCTTAGAATGCTTAATATGCTCAATAGGCACATTAATTTTGTTGGCAAGAATCTTGTCCTTAACTTGTTTGTTCACAACAATGCCAACAGCATGCTGGGTAACATTGTAGACTCTTCCAGTCTTGCCATGGTGACACTTGTGGGACATTCCTTTTTGAACAGTACCCATTCCCTTAATGTCTACAATATCACCTTTCTTGTAGATTCGCATGTATGTTGTCAAAAGAACAACTCCATGTTTTCTAAAAGGCCTAGAGAACATATATCGGGTGCCTCTCGTCTTTCCCTTTGTGTTTGTCGTTTTGGTTAATTACTGGAAGATGGCAGTTCTGGCCAAAAGGAAATCAATCACTCTACATCTTTACAGCATACAAAATTGTTTTCCCAAGTGTGAATATAGTGCATATTAGTCAAATTATAGATATTATCCTGTACATTACCATCAACAAATAACTTAATTTTTGTTTCTGTTGAAAGTTTTTACCCCCATCCCCTCTCTCCTTCCCCCATTATCCACCTTCTCCTAAACTGTCTACAGTATCTTCAGTTGCCCTCCATACTAGTCTACCTTCCAGCCTTTCAGTTTCTGCCATAGAGTGCAGACATTTGGTATATATTAAGTGGGGACATACAATGCCTCTCTTTTAGGTAATCTTTTTATATAGAGAAGTGTGACATGTTATTAAAAAAATAAGCTTTATGCATCCATATTGTGATATTTGCATCTTTTAGGGTATTTTTACTGTGCATAGAAGTTGTCTGCATTTTCCCTATGGAAAGATGTAGTTAAAATGCACATAGTATTTTAAATTCTCAACTCAACACTTTAGCAAGGAAGCACTTTTACGTAGGCAACACAAAGTGTCACAATAATTCATTTGACCATTTTTAGGATGATAGACATTTAAACTCTATCCTACTTTCCATTATTAAAGGAAGGGCTAAAATGAATAAATATGTATTTCTGAATGATGTATTATACATCTGTTGTTAAAATATGATAATTTATTATTTTGATTGATATAGCCATATTTTTTCATCTACTCCTACTCTGACCATCTTTCTACACATACAGCCATGGAGGCCTTCTCCCCACTCACTTGCCAGGACTTCTCATTATCAATTGGTGTTTCACGAATGAATTGGGAAAAAATAACATTATTTTACTTACATATTTTTTGATCAATGTGAGTTTGGGAATCTTTTCTTATATTTATTTTTTATGTTTGTCCTTCCTGTAAATTGTCTATTTATATTTATTGCCTATTTTAGTCAGGGCCAAGATCCTTTGCCTATTGATTGTGAGATGTCCTATTCTTGCATTATTTTCCTATAAGAGCAGGATGAACAAACTCTTAAAGTGGACCCAGGACCTTCTACCTGCCATTGTTTATGCCCTAGTGTTGTTCCTCTCCCCTTGGGTGAGAGCAGAACCTGGGACTTATTCTTAACCAGTAGAAGAGGATAAAAATGACGGGTTGCCTGTGGTTTTGTGTATAGGACTATGTGATTACAAAAAGGACTATAACACCCAACTTGCCAAGGAGTCTCTCTCTCTGTATTTCTCTCCTTTCTCTTTTCCTGGCCTTGAACTAGGTTGAAAAGTACCTCATGGCAAGGAATCATATATGGCCTCTAGGAACTGAGGGTGAACTCTGCAAGAGTCAACAAAAACTTAAGCCTTCAGCCCTACAGCTACAAGAAACTGACCTCTGTCAACAGCCTGAGTAATATCAGGAGTCGATTCTGCCCAGTAGAACCTCTGATGACACTCAAGTCCCCGCCAAGACTTGAGACCTAAAAGCAGAAAGCGAGATAAACCCGAATTGCTCACAGACCCCTGGACCACAGCAACTGTACGATAATATGTGTGTGTTGTTTTAAGCTGTTACATTTGCAGTAATAATGTCACACGGCAATAGTTTGCTAATACAAATAGTATTATGGTGGACGACTGTTACTTCAATCTGTCCTTCTCTGTATCTCTGGTTTCCAGCTCTCTAGTTGTTCCTGGTGGCATCTGGTCCTGCAGAGAGGATAAACATGGGGAACTGAGGACAACATAAAATTATCTTGCTACAAATGCCTTTGGCTTTCTGTCAATCACTCCTTATTTGGGGACAAAGAATAAGCATTGTCATTGAAGGGCAGAAAAAATGATTCAAATCTCTTATTCTGATTTTAAGGCTGCAATAAATACATCAAATCTCTAACTTACATACTTTTTTTTCCTTCTCATAGGTCCTATTCTTAAAATAGTAAAGCTAAGAGAATTCACTTCACAGAAGAAATAATAGTTACTTGACCTCTCATATAACTCTTTATAGTATTTTTATACTGTATTTTGATATTGACTATTTTTATACTTTTCTTTTAGCCTCTTATTGTTCGTCCATCACAAAAGCCAAAAGAAAAACACTTTTGCTAGGATATATAAATCTTACCCCAAAGTTTTGGTATACCTCTTATACTTTTAGGTCAAGAAACACCTCATCTTTCCAATACCCTGCATTTCTCTCATTGCTACTAAAGAACACTGCAAAGGTAATTTTGTAATTGCAGTTATAAAAGAAAGAGACCGATTAGTTCTTCTTTGTTCCATAATCCTCTTATGTAATTCTTTTAAATTAAAAAGCTGAGTGATAAAATAGTCATGAAGATCAAAATGACAATTGAAGGTTGACGTATCTTCTGAACAAGTCCTAATAACATTAAATTATTGTTGCTAGAAGAAAAAAATGCAAACACCTTGGATATCTTACTCTGTATACAAGGAGAAACTGTCATGGAAAAGAAACGAGAGCATGACAAAATAAGAACTTGGATATAAAATTTCAAAGCTAATTGTCGTGGCAAGTTCTAGCCTCAGAATGTGAGTGAGTTAAGTCATACTTGGTGACTTGAAGAGGTCGTTAATGACATTTCTTGTAGGTCCTCTGTCTTCTATAAGCACTTTTATAAAATATTTACAACATAAATATTTACAACATTAAATTGGCTCGCTTAAAAAATGGACAGGATCAAGAACATTAAATAAATGGAGAACGTCTATTTATTTAACAAGGAAATAGTGACTATGTAAGAAAACACATGACCGTTTGATAATCCCAAGAATGTTTCTTTTTAAAGAATTAATTGTTTATTTAATTCCACTTGTTATTATTATTATTTTTTCATTTGACCAGAGAGACAGAGAGAAAGGGAAAGTGAGAAAGCAAGCTGCCAGGTCAGGAACTCAAACCACAGCCAGCCATGTGGGAATCCAGCACCTTAGCCACCATGCCATTTGCCAGCCCTAGAAGAGGATTTTTAATACTCTAGGACTAGATTTATGAAATAAGAATGATGTAAACAAACACCAAGTCAGCAAATGAGAATGACCTTTTTTTTTTTTTAAGACACTAAGTTTAAAAAAAAATTAAAAAGGTTGCTTTTGTTTGCTGACTTGGTCATTTTTAAGACACTAAACTTGCTTTCCTTGCCATCTTTTTGTCCCACCATCTTGGCGTGTATGGATATCCTGGTTGATTCTCTCAAGAGCACCAACAATGCCAAAAGCAGAGGCAAATGCCAGATTCTTACTAGGCCATGCTCCAAAGTTATTTTCTGCTCTCTGACTGTGATGATGAAGCATGGTTACATTGGTGAATTTGATATCATTGATGACCACAGAGCTGGAAATACTGTTGTGAACCTCACTGGCAGGTTAAATAAATGTGGAGTGATCAGCCCCAGATTTGATGTGCAACTCAAAGATCTAGAGAAATGGCAGAATCATCTGCTCCCATCCCATCGGTTTGGTTTCATTGTACTGACAACCTCATCTGGCATCACAGATCATGAAGAAGCAAGACATAAGCATACAGGAGGGAAAAGTCCACAGATTCTTTTTCTAGGAATGTAATAATACACATACACACAAATAAAATGCCTCACTGGACAAAGGCAAAAAAAAAAAAAAAAAAGACATGATGCTTATGGGTTTCCTAAAGTATGACTAATGATTATTAAACAACGTAAGTGACAAATTTAGATGAAAGAAAAATTGAGTGACTAATTTATGGGAGTGATAACTACAAGTGGACTCAAAGTTGGATGGGCTTGGGAATAAACAGAAACCAAGGTGAAGTCTACAATCACCAAAGAAGAATGAAACAATTCTTCAATGGGAGAAAGCTTAAGGTACAATTAAGGCGTACTTGCACTAGTTTGATTGAAGTGAAAATTACTAGCAGGAAAAATGAGGAAATAGCTGGAAAACAGACTGAAAACAGATTATGGAGGACTTCGAAAATCAGTTTGGAAAAAGTCCACTGAATTCTGCAGAGAAAGCATATACAGTACTTAAGAAGCCAATACACATTGCCAGTAAACCACAAAGTGCTTTTCTTTCCACACCCAGTGGACTCTTAGTATTATATCCTGGCTTCATCACAAGATCCTATAGAACAATAAGGGCAATGATGATGAACATGGAGATAAAAAAGTTAAAATTTTAAAAGGGCGAAAATTCTGGAATCTAAGAAATAGATTACCCCGAAGAAGAGTTTATCCCATTAACTGTATGAGAAAAGAAGAAAATCTTGAATAAGTTGTATATGGGCACATTTGAGAAAATAGTCCCACACCAGTATTTTGTTGGCTTTCACCTCTGATCTTTTAGCTTTAAGGAGCTATAGATAAATTCCTGAGGGGGAAGATTACCCTGGTATCTACTGAGCATCAATGATTATAGATTTATTTAAATGCTTGACACTAACTAGACTTAACTATACTACCATAATAAATAAATAAATAAATAGTCTGGTTCTCCCCAGTATCTACTTTCTCATTCTACCGATTTTATTCTCACTCCCTTTCTCTTCCATTATTGGAGACTCTATCAGCTTTCTACCTGTAACAGAAACTCTAATATTTTCAAGGCATTTGATATCTCTATCATATGGGCAAATATTTGAGTAAAAATGATTATATCCAATTATTTTAGTTTTCTTCTGCATAAATGTTCCTCAAAGGCCATCAGATTCGACTTCTTGATTAAAAAGGTAGTATAGGTGAACAGAGAGGCTCATGTCTTCTAGTTAGAGCTCAGTGATTCTAGTTGGTACTTGCCATTAATCTCTAAGTGAGCAAAATGATTACCATAATCTTATTTAAGAGTCTAGATTTTCCAAATTTCTACACATCTTCATCATAAAGGATCATAACAGCCAAAAAAATTTAACTACATGATGGTATTACATCTTGGAGGTTGTTACTTCTGCCCAGATGCTTGAACATATGAATCAATAAAAATAATACCACCTAACCATAATAAGATGACTTTTCTCTTTTTTAAAAAATGTTTTTATTCCTTTCTTAAGTGAAACAGAGATAGAAAAACAGCACGCCCAACAAGGTCCTGACACCGTGATCCAGCCCCCCACCCCCACCCCAGCCTTCAGCCAACCCCACATCATGGGCAAGTGCATGTCTGCTGTACTCCGAAAATCTCTGGACTTGAACCAGAAACCTTCTCATGTGGGATTGCTTCACAGATCATGGTACTTCACCACTGCACCATTGTGTCTGACCCTTCAATGAACTCTTTCTTTCTTTCTTCCTTTTTTTTTTTGGGGGGGGGGAGAGGTTTTTGCTATAGGGTGCGTGCACTCAACAGAAAGACAGAGAGAGACAGAGAGACAGAAAGTGAGAAATCACCTCCCCAAGGGGAATGGCCACTCTGCAATCCCTTCTCCTTCTCCTCTCAGGATCTTGGACACGCACGCACATGTGCACATTGTGAGTTTAAACCTCCAGGTCCAGGACACAAACCACGGTCGACTACATGGGAGTCCAGCGATGTAGCCATTATGCCTGCTGGTCTCAGGTTAAGATTTCAATATCTGCATTCAATATCTTTCTCTTTTTTAACTTTTTTTTTTCCTTTCTGTAGGACATGCGTACTTACCAGAGAGAAAGAAAAAGAGAAAATTAGAAAAGCACATCCCAGGGGATAGCCATACTGCAATCCCTTCTTCTCCTTTCTCTTCTTGGGATTTTAGTCATGCACGCACATGCACCCAGTGTATTTTTCAAGCTGCTAAGTCTGAGACTTGAACCATGTAGTTGATCATATGAGATCTAGCCATCATAAACATCAAGCCACTGTTTGGCCTCAACTTTTTCTCCACATTATCAATATTTTTTTTAAGTATGAAGAATCAGCTTGCCTATAAAAAAAATGAATAATCCAAGAAAAGAAAATGGACAAATGAACTGAACAGACAACTCTCCAAGGAAGACTTACACATGGCCAAAAGGCATATAAAAAAATGTTCAGTCTCTTCTCATTAGGGATATGCAAATTAAATCCACAATGAGATACAATTTAATCTCAGAATGGTTAGGATCAAAATAATAAACAAGTGTTGATGATGTAGTGAAAAGGGAAGTCTCTTACACTATTGGTGGGAATGTAAATTATTCAAACCTCTATGGAAAATAATATGGAAGTTTCTCAAAAACTTACAAATAGAACTTCCATGTGACCCAATAATCCCACTTCTTGGTATTTAACTCAAAGAAAGGAAAATACTCAATCAGAAAGATATTTGCACATCCATGTTTTCCCCAGCATCATTACATGCTAAAACATGGAAGCATCCTAAGCGTCCAAAAACTGATGATTGGATTATAAAACTGTGACATACATATACTATGGAATATCACAAAGCTATAGGAAAAAATGAGATCTTATCATTTGACTCAAATGGATGAATATAGAATACTTAATGTTAAGCTAAGTGAGCCAGACTTTGAAATATACACATTGTATATCCCCACCCAACTTGTACTAAGTGCTGTGGCAGAGGTTGAGAGACTTGAACATGCGATGGTAGAGAGGATGGGTGTAAATACTAGAGATTGTTAGAGTGGATGCATAGTGGGTGGTGGGTATGAGGTACAAGGGTAGGAAAACTTTAACAGATAGAAAATGTAAAGTTCACTGTTGAAACAAAAAAGTATTAAGAATAATATTTTTAAATGTAGGCTGATTGTATATAAAATGAAACGTGTATGTCAAGCAAGTAACTGCCACATAATATATAGCTGACATGTAAGACAAAAGAAAAGCCTAAAAATGGAATTTATCTGGAGTTACTCTCAACAATTATATTTTGTAAAAGATAAAGAAAAAATAATGATGCCGAATAAGAAAAGCAGGATTGATGCTGGAGAAGTTTGTATTCCTAAAGGGAAGTATTATTCAATTCAGTCAAAAAATATTTCTTTTTTAAATGTGACCCTTCTTATATTGGTTGGTATGGTCCCTCTTCTTTGTATGAGCTGCCAGTCATACCCTGCAAATCTTAACAATCCACAGCTGCATTATACATCAAAGTCACTATTTTCCTAACCAAAAAAAAAAAGACAATTTGAATCACAATGACAAAAAATGTTGATAGCCTTTGAACATACTTTTTGTCCATTCTTCGAAAGAAATGTGAATAGTTTTATCTTCAGGAGAACCCATCATTTTCTTTTCCTTTTTAATTTTTTTAAATTTGTTTACTTTTTTTATTTTAATTTTTTATATACATTCAACCATATTATTTAGCTTACAAAGTGAACATTTCAATATGTGAACATTTCTCCACAGTCCAGTTGATCAGAATATCTTCCACCAAGAACACCACACCTCCCCATTCCGTCAATGCTCTGTCTCCATATCCCTCCTCCAAATGTCCTTCCTTAGGTCCCTCTTCTCCCCACTTAATATATACCGAGAACCCATCATTTTCATAAGATAGAGCTTTGTTTTATTTTCTCTAACTCCAAAGATTATCTATTTACATGAAAGTAAAAGGTTTGTTTTGTTCACAGTCAGCGTAGTGATGGGAAAAGGAAGTGAAAATTTACACAGAAACCCACTGAGCAAGGTTTTAAGAACTGATTATGTGACTGACTATCAAGAATGAATAATTTTATAGAAAAGGAGAATAGTCAGAGTCCTCCACAAACTTCGTGTGAATATCAACTTCATGTAGAAAATTACTCACTTGTAAAAGATCAATAAAGACACTTTCTATTAAAAATAAGAAGAGAGACAAATTTCTCTGAATAAAGGCATAGGGATTTTCTAGACAACTGGAAAACAACTTCTTAAAATTCACAATTAATTTCAAAGACTTAATTCATTAGCGATCGCTCTTCAAATAATTCAAATTTTAATTTAACATTTAAGCCTTTCTTACATAGCACTAATCATATCAGAGTATACTAAATAGTCAAAGTAAAAAAAATATATACTGATTCACTCCATCAGTATTTTTATACAAAAGAATATAATTATCCCTTGAAGTCTTTCCATAACGTAAACAATATGGACAAGGAGCTCAGCTTTGGCATAAAACCATTTTTAGAAAAGATTAAACAGCATAGAAAGATGAATACAAATAATGGAGACATGACTGATAAAGAAGAAATCTTCTGAAATGATTGTGCAACCTCATAATATAGTATATTCATCATGAAATCTGTGTGGGCTAATTAACCTATAAAGGATAGTGAATAGATTATTAGATTTGGATGCCTTTTATTAAAATGCAGGTAGAATCAGATAATTGAGAAATAGAACTTATCTAATAGTGTACATTATATGAAATAGACATAGTTTACCCATATTATATAGATACATTGTACCGCACTCTATTCATTATCTCAGGCTGGCAACTCCTATTTTACCACACTAACTAATACCAAGCACAGTGTTCATCTAAGTGAGATTATCTGTATCCCTTGTATTAGAATTTCCTGGGGGTATGAATGAGACAGAAGGGTGCTAAAGAAAACTGTAGACTTCTGCCACTATCCAAAATCCACTTGTTGAGAATCAGTGCAGGGATTGCCTTCAAAAGCTGC